AGAGAGAGAGAGAGAGAGAGAGAGAGAGAGAGAGAGAGTGTGTGTGTGTGTGTGTGTTCATTTCCAGAGACTGATGTGGGAGTAGAGGGGGAACTCCCCTGGCCTTGGCCCTGGCCCTGTGGGAGGGGGCAGGGGATTCAAGTGCTAGAGAGGACCCCTCTCAGGCATCAAGGACTCAATGTTTTAAAAGTCTAAAAGAAGTTGGGAATCCCTCCTCCTAGTAGCCCTGAGCCCCTTCTCAGGAGGGGAGGGGCCAGCCCCAAGCTCTCCACACCTCTTCTCAGACCTCTGATACCTTTTTCCTCCCCTAATTCCCCACCCCCTACTCTTTCAGCAGAGAAAGGATAAAGAAAAGACCCGCCAACTCCACTAAGTCCTGGGGGAGGGGGCCGCAAAGGGGCACATGAGCCCCCTCCCAGCTCATGGAGAATCTCCAGCCCACCTAAAAGGTCGCCATCCCTAGCAATAGAGGACAGTGTTAAGTCCCTGGGAAAAGCAGTGGTCAGCCAGGCTTCCCTGGAGTGGGACAGTCCTGGGCTGTGCTGTGCCCAGCGCCCCTGTACTAGGCAGCGGCCAGCGGCCCGTTCCACGCCCCCATCCCCGCCTCCCGCCCGGTTCGTTCTGCTGTCCTCCGAGCACACTCAAGACTTTACCTGTTGAAGCTCGGAGTTCAAGGGAGTTGTGCACAGACAAAAGCTACAGTCAGGGCCACGATCGCCAGAAAGGGGACAGCTACCTCACGCGCTCTCTGGGTCCTGTCGGCCTGGTCTCGGGTGGGAGTCGCCGCCCCGAGGCTGACCTCTCCAGAAGGACGTGCTCTCTAGGCGCCCAGATCAATCACGCTCTCCCTACCCTGTCTAGCCGGCTCCAGCCGGGGCCCTGGGCACGTCCTCGTCCCAGGAAAAAGTTTCGCGGCTGAGCTCGGGCGAGTGGCGCACAGGGCGAAGTTGGGGGATAGTGGCAGCTTCGGGTCGGTTCTCGCTGCCCCAGACAAGTCCCCGAGACCCGAGGGTGCTTGGTCCGGCTCTAGACTTGGGAGTGGAATGGAACCAACTGCCTCAGACCTGACCCTGGGGCCACGTGGGCCTAGGACCAGCGGGGGTTTGCCCAAACCCCCACCCCCACCCTCCGCACTCCCTCCGCTTCCGCAACTCCAGGGCCAGGCGCTTCCCAGCTCTGCTGCCCCTGAGCCCAAATTGCGGGTACTGCGTCCCGCGCAGCCAAGAGGTCTCGGACATAGCAGCGGGACCAAAGCCCCCCGGATTTGGGGAACTCCTCCCGCCCCCAGAATCCTCAGCCCACGTTCACAGTTGAAAGTACGCACTGGGTGCGTCCCGGCGCCTCCCCGAAGACTCCGAAGGCCGCGCTCAGGGTCGGCGAGGGTGGCTCTGCTCGGGCGCTCCCGTCTCGACGTTCCCGGGGCAGAGAGCAACGTCCGGGGACGCACGGGACGGGTGCGCCCGGCAGCCAGGGCTACGCCGGGTGAGGCCGGCGGCGGGAGGGGAGCGCTCGGCGTTCAGGCAACAGCTACCCCTAGTGGGAGAGCCGCTGGGCCGCCGCCGCCCCGCGCCCCTGCCCCGTGCCCGCCGCCTGCGCCCTGGGCGCCCTGGCCTGCGGGGGCACAGGCCGGCATTCTCTCTCGGCTCCCAGCCTGGCGCCTGCTTGCCGGCCGACCCTGCCCTCCACCTCCTGGCCGGGCCCCGGCGGCCGCTGACCCCAGAGCAACAGCGCTGAGCGGGCACGCGACAGGACGGGGCGGGCGCAGCCAGGGCGGCAGCCTCGGGCCGCGCGGGGGGCGCAGAGCG